AGTCCAGGCATCTGCTTTCATCCTTCCAAGGATAGCATAGTGGCTCCATCAGGACGCTTTAGACTTCCGTCAGACCTCTGCACTTTGGGGTTCCCGTTGAGCTGGGCAATCGGGCTGTGGCGAGTTCTCTTTATGATATCATTGACCTCCTCATGCCTGGCATACTTCCCTTCTGGTTTGTGTGACACACGAGACCATGAAGTCCGAATTGATCAGCTGTCGCCCTGCCGCAAATACACCTATGTTCGGTTGAGGCATGGGGGGCTAGGCAAAGAGCAACACCAATTCCGAAACGGGCCTGTGGGTCTAGTCGATGCCCAGGAGGAATTGGGAAACAGCTACAGGAAATCTCCTGAGTGTGTGGTGCCTTCACTGCCAGGAGAACGAGCTTTGTCCTTTCCTGAAGCGTTGGAGAGCATTGTGTGGCGATTTTTTCTGATTGGTTTGTCCAGTGGGACTGTTTGTTGTTCTTTGGGAGGAAGTGGTCTACGGGAGGAATCTGTAAGGGTGTCCCACCGAATCGCTGCTTTCAGAACCTGGGGTCTTGAGCTCCTACCGTGGCTCTCAAGCGTTCGGGGAACAATCTTCTTGACTTAAAGACACTGGAAGATAATATATATATATATATATATATATATATATATATATATATATATATATATATTTTAATTTTATATATATATATATATAATATATATATATATATATATACTGCCCAGCGCGATACCCACTTTGACATTCACTTATTACGACACTTCGCTAATCTATTCTAGTGTAAGAAATATGCCTCAGAGTTTAAAGGGCTGTGTATGTATTTACTGGGCTACTGGTTCACTTATACACACAATTCTTAGTAGTTTGGAGATTCAGGGGCAGCTAGGGGTAAAACACGGAAGCAGGGCTGATCACGGCTCTCTCTTCATTCATCACTCTGAAACTCCTCCACCTGGGGGTACAAGTGCATTTATCATACTTTTGTGATTTTTTTTTCTCCACTTTAATTTTTAGCTGGAAACATTGCCAGTAAGGTCATAGCTCATGTTTAATGCATTTTATGATGAATATTCGTGTACAAAAGTAGTTAAAAAGGAAAACGGAAAAATTCTCAATCGATCTTCAAGGAATTCATAGCACGAGCATTTTTAATTATTGTGTAAATGTATCCAAATTTATTATTTACGTTTCTTGTCGTTTACAAAACAAGTTGATTTAGACGAGAAATTTCTCATACATTATTATTCAGCAAATAAACAAATGAAAGAAAAAGTCAATTTTTTAGAGAAGTTGGCGCAACAGAGTCATCTTGAAAGACTGAAGATGACAGGTGTCAGAGAAGACACATGTCAAGCCTCGACAGTGTGACTGTGGCTAGGAATAGCGGGGCAATATAACCTATACTATGATAGGAAACTGAGGCTTACCAAGTAAGAGAAGAATTTGTGATTGTGCTTTTATGAAGCTGAAGGAGAGAGAGAGAGAGAAAGAGAGAGAGAGATGACAGGACTCCAGAAAATTTTGCAAGAATTGCTGGCTACACCTCATGGATGAGAAGAGACAGGCAAGGGAAAGGAGGAGGTGTTGCTGTGTGCTTCTCTAAAAGTGTTCATGCCCAACACATTGATGTTGCCACCCCTACACATCTTGAAATGATGTTCTTCAAGCTCTGCATAAACACTAGTACCTCTGTACTGGCATGTGCAATGTACAGACCTCAGTGGCAACATGCAGACCCCATCAACTTCCTAATGGAAAATATTGACTCCTTTGCTACAAACAACTGTCAAACATTCATAATTTTTGGTTGACCTCATCCAACGCCTTTACAGAGGGAACTTTGATGACCTTCTGCAGTATTTGACATGATGAACTTTGTTGATATCCTACTCACATCTCTGGCTCCTCCTATGACCACCCTGTAGTGAGTGATCTGGAGAAGGCTTAGTCACTTGTAACCCCTCGGCTAGTTGGATCGTCTGACCACAAGGCCTGTTTTCACGACACTTAAGATCCCAACAGAACGAAGGTGAGGAGTCCACACGGCACAACTGGTTTGGGAAGAGTGTAATTGGCACCAAGCCCTTTGCTCTGAGTCGCCACCACAATTTGGAATGCTCTTTCAAGGGGATGTTGGACAACCTTCACTGGACACATTCTTAATCTAAACAAGAAACACATCCTCACAGGGATGTGACAAAGCTCTACAGATCAGCCTTGGTTTGGCTTTCGTTATTGAGAGGCTGCTACTGCTAAGTACAAATCATGGCGATGTATAAGAGACATCCTACCACCTATAAACAGGAACTTTGCACAGGCAGCTGTAGGCATATGGGTGACGTTCAAAAGTGGGGCCACTGCTAAATGGAGGTGGACACTAAAAGAAAGTTAGCATCAGTGTAGGGTTAGGCTCCAAAACCTGGTGGTTCCTTTAAGGGACAGACAAGGTTACGTGCTCTGATGACTTCATTCCTCTAAATCGACAGGATGGGACCACCTCTACTAGTAGTCAAGAGGATGGCGGACCTTTTGTGAACAACTTGGCTACCAAAATATGCAAGTTCTGTCAGCATGAGGGACCTCCTTGGCTAGCTGCAAGAACTGTGTAAACTGTCAGTGGTGGACAATAAGGCAGGAGGATGAGTGAATTTCCTTCTTAAATCGCTTGACCAAGAAAAGGCTGTGGGCCCAGACAAGTTGGCCCATGATTGCTGAGAGATGTGCAGACCAAGCTAGCGCACCTCTAACTCGCATCTTTCAGCACTGCGTAGTAGTGTAAATGGCCCACTCTTTGGAAAGAGGCAAATGTAGTCCCTCTTCACAAAAAGAAGAGCAGAGCAGAAATTCAGCAAAAACAACAGACCAGTGTCACTCTGTCAATCCTGGTAAGATCCTTGAGACAATAATCCTCAAGACAAATGACAGAGTTTTTGCTACCACTCACTACTTTGTGATCGTCAATATGGCTTCAGGAAGGTTACTCTTTGCTCTGATTGTTGTTAAACCTCTCATAAGTGGCACCAGTCACTGATGAATCAAAAGAAGCTGTTGTGGTTAGCACTGGACATTGCTGGCGCTTTCGACCGGGTGCGCACCAGGTCCTCTTAGCAAAACTTTAAGCACTGGGAATTGCAAGATCTACGTTTAGTCTCCTCAGTGATTTACCTTTGGTAGATCTCTAGTGTAGTTTCATTGGAATCGGAATCAGCAAGGACATCCTACGGGGGCAGTGTTCCACAAGGAAGCGTACAGGGACCATTGTTATGGAATGTCTACTTTCAACGACCTTTTCATCGATCCCAGAATCACATGCATATGCAGACGACTGTTACACTGACATTCACTTATCCATAGAAGAAAGCAGCTGCTCTAAGCTACATCAATCACCACCTGAGAGTTTATCAGCTTAGGGAGGAAATAGATGGCAAGTAACATTTGGCAACTGAGGGAAACGCAAATGATGTCGTCTTAGGGCACCCATGATGGGATAATGCTGGTGCAGTTAGTAAGTTGAATGGGAGGGTGTTGGCAACTGGAGGAAGAAGTTGATTCTTTGGGGTGAAAGTTGACTCCAAAACTAACAATTGAAGGAACCATGTTGTAATCTTACAAACAAGGCAGCAGGAGCTTACAAGCACTTCGCCGTATCTCGCATCTGCTTGACAGTAGGGGTTGCAAAGTACGAGGCACATGTACGCTCACACTCTTTGAGTATTTCACTTTCTTTGGTTTGCCTGCCCCCCCCCCTTCTCATCTGCGACTGCCTTGGACAGAGTATGAGAACAGAGAAAGACGTCTTCATCTCTCGCTGGAACCCATTCCTGGTAGATCTGTCATTTCAGCGGAGCCTTAACATAGGGGGATGTGGGTGGCCTTACTGTTATGTACAAGGACAATATTGTCAAGTACCACACTTGGATCACTTCGAGGACAGCGTGATGAAACAAGCGTTTATGCACACAGTACGGCAGAAAGCAGCAACTTCACTCTGGCAGTACCCTTCTCCAGAACTTAATCCATCTGTGATCATATATACCCAGGTGGCTCGAGTATGGAACACATTCGTTTACAAGCATAATGATTGTCAACGAGATAGTCAGTTGATCCACATGAAAATTCTGGCCACAGTGGCTCCAACTTCATCCTGTTCCCTAACTTGTATTTCCATAACAATAAAAAAAGCTTTCAAAAATGGAGCTTTTAAATGTAGGTAATCAGCTCTTAGCTTGCCAATAAAGTTAGGAATCCTTAACCTGTAAAATAGTTTGTTCAATAAACTAGGATCTTAACCTTGTCAAACCTGTGTAAAAAAAAAAAAAAAAAAAAAAAAAAAAAAAAAAAAAAAAAAAAAAAAAAAAGAAAAAAAGGACAAGAGAAGAGAGAGAGACGAGGGGAGACGGAGAGAGAGAGAGAGAGAGAGAGAGAATGAAAAGAGGAGAGAGAGAGAAGTATTTCATTCGCGATAAGATTGCTAATCGATAAGATCACATACTTTTCTTTGAATCGCATCTGTTCTCCGAATATTCTTGGCAAGACTGTCTACCGATCAACGGACGAAAGATCGAGCCTAAACCCATGTGAGTCATCTAGCCTTACCATGAAAAACTCATATGTATTTTCAACTTTAAATATAAGAAGATATAAATGAACTGTATAAAGAATTCCGGTTAGTGTGAACTGGCCAGGTGTGAGAATAGACTCCAGAGTGCTGGTAAACCTTAAGCAGCTGAAAAGAAATGCAATATTTTCTAAACTTTAAGAGAATTTTCATTTGTGGTAACACTCGCAATAATTTTACAACTATGAGGTTTCTAGCTGAGTCGATTTTATAATACAGAACAATTATATATTCCTGTTTATTGTACGCTAGAGCTCTCAGGGTAAGCACTCAGTACTATATTATTTACAGTGAGTATATATTCACTCACATGCTCGTCTCACCCTCTGAAATGCCTTTTTTAGCACATATCAAAAATAAAGGCAAATCGAGTAGCTGACATACTCACAGTTCATATCGAGGGTGAACGGTGGAGGAGATATGGCGTGGGAGTCGTTGATAGTTCGTTAGCGCGTAGCGCGACACTCGGAAAACTGGCGGTAGGTCGTTCCTTGGAGTTCGTGTAACGACCAGCGTCACCTTGATGACCCCCCAGGCTCCCAGGCACTTCCTCAGACGGCCGCACTCGTCGTTTTGACCAGCCACTTGTACCGTAGGAGTGGGCCGACTACCCCACAACACACTTGGTTGGAGTCCTCTCAATTACGGAGTAATAATGTATTTAAATAATTAAACAAACCAATTACAGTTTTTGATTAGTAATAAATATATATTCTTTTACATTTCTGCTCCTAAACCCTCTATCAGAGACTGAACCCAGAAACTTCTTGACGAAAAACTTGGAGTGTTACCACCAGCCACTGTCCGTGGGCACCACATATGTCAGTGTTCTGGTCTGCTTCACTCAGAGTGAGGGGAATATTCTGGTTCAGTCATATATATATATATATATATATATATATGTATATATATATATATAAATATAGATATATATATATTATTATATATGTTATTGTAACCACGAACGAGTGGTATTGATCAATAAAACACTGCGATAGCCAAGGATTCGATTCCATGTTGTATGGCCTGCCTCCTCATGATTAAGCGAGAACCAACATGACGCTTCAAACCACAGTACCACCCAAACCCTACAAGAATGGCGCAGCCAGCCAGAGCTAGCTGTTGTGGCCGCCATCCCGAGGATACGGATTGTGTGGGAAGCTTCTAAGCTAATTTCATTTCTACATCCTGTTTTGGTTGTTACTAGACCTCACTAGGGAGCATTTATATATTAATGTGACCACAAATAGGGTATGAGATGAAATTAGCATTAGATGCTCCCACACCTCCGTATGTCTCGGATGGTGGCCCAACAGCTAGCTTCTGCTGGCTGCGCTATTCTTACGCCTTACATGAGGCAGGCCTGTGCAACATGGTCGAATCCTTGGCTAGCGCAGTGTTATTAGAATGTATATACATATATATTATTTATATATATTTATATATATATATATAATAATATATTTATATATATATATATTTATATATATATATATTATATAATACATAAAATTAGATGAAATATATATATATATTATATATATATATATATATACCTATATATATAATATTATATGTAAGTATCACCAGTAGGGGACCTATGGTACACACACAACAAATATTACAAATCTTCGCCATCTATAGTAGGTAAAAGGTCTATCGTAAATTTCCTAATCCTAAATATACACACACATCACGCATTACCCCCTTAATTCTCTATATCTTTTTTCTTTCACTCATTTATTACCAATTCACGTCCCCCTGTTTCTTCCCTCCATCCATTCAGCTTTCCCTTTGACCCCTCTTCTCTCGCTCTTATTCTCGTTTATTCTCATATTGTTTTTCTCGTATTCTTACTTAAGCTCTCTTTCACATTATTTATTAACATTTATTCACAGTCTTCATCACGCTTTAATGTTCTTACGTTCTTACTAACGTTCTTTTTTTTTCTAATTTACATTGCTTACGTATTTTTTTCATGTTACAGCCCATCTCAATTTCGCATGTTCTTACTCATTTTATATATTTTTATTTATTTTCTAATATTCTTTCTCACATTCTAATGTTCTTCCGTTCCTACGTTCTCATTTTCTTGCTTACCCATCATATTTATACTGTTCTATTATCATGGTCCGTTTCTCATTTGTTTTCTACTCATGTTCGCATACTCTGCTTCCATATTTTTCTCACATGCACTTTACCATATTTTCTTTATCTCTTCCACCTTCCCTTCTTCTGTTCTTTGCGACGTTTCACTCTTATCTTCCCTTTTTCCTCCATTTATATAAAAATTGTTCTCTAAATAGGCTAACCAGTTTCACACGATTTACCTTTCCTTCATTTCTGAAAGCTGGAAATATCACTGTAAGTTTTAATGTTTTATTTTTATTTTCTAGATTAGGTTAGGTTAGGTTAGGTCAGGTTAGGTTAGGTTAGGTTAGGTTAGGTTAGAGTTAGGTCAGGTTTAGTTAGGTTTGGTTAGGTTAGGTTAGTAGTTAGGTTAGGTTAGTTTGGTTAGGTTAGGTTTTGGTTAGGTTGGTTTAGGTTAGGTCAGGTTAGGTTAGGTCAGGTTAGGTTAGGTTAGGTTAGGTTAGGTTAGGTTAGGTTAGGTTAGGTTAGGTTAGGGTAGGTTTGGGTTAGGTTTAGGTTAGGTTTGTAGGTTAGGTTAGGTTAGGTTAGGTTAGGTTAGGTTTGGTTAGTTAGGTCAGTCAGGTTAGGTTAGGTTTGGTTTGGTTAGGTTTGGGTAGGGTTAGGTTAGGTTAGGTTAGGTTAGGTTAGGTCAGGTTAGGTTAGGTCAGGTTAGGTTGTGTTAGGTTTGGTTAGGTTAGGTTTAGGTTAGGTTAGGTTTATGGTTAGGTTAGGTTAGGTTAGGTTAGGTTAGGTTAGGTTAGGTTAAGGTCATGGTTAGTTAGGTTCAGGTTAGGTTAGGTTAGGTTGTTATGGTAGTTAGGTTACGTTAGGTTAGTTCAGGTTAGGTTAGTTTGGGTTAGGTTAGTTAGGTTAGGTTGGTTGGGTCAGGTAGGTTAGGTTAGGTTTGGTCAGGTTAGGTTAGGTGTTGGTTAGGTTAGTGTTAGGTTAGGTTAGGTTGGTAGGTCAGGTTAGGTAGGTCAGGTTAGGTTAGGTTAGGTTAGTTTAGGTTAGGTTAGGTTACGTTAGGTTAGTTAGGTTAGGTTAGGTTAAGGTTAAGGTTAGGTCAGGATAGGTTAGTCAGGTTAGGTTTAGGTTAGGGTAGGTTTGGTTAGGTTAGGTTAGGTCAGGTTAGTTAGGCTAGTTAGGTTAGGTTATGTCAGGTTAGGTTAGGTTAGGTTAGGTTAGGTTAGGTTAGGTTAGGTTCGGGTTAGGTTAGGTTAGGTTAGGTTAGGTTAGGTTAGGTTAGGTTAGGTCAGGTTAGGTTAGGTCAGGATTAGGTTAGGTTAGGGTAGGGTTAGGTTAGTTAGGTAGGTCAGGTTAGGTTAGGCTAGGTTAGGTTAGGTTAGGTCAGGTTAGGTTAGGGTCAGGTTAGGTTAGGTTAGGTTAGTTAGGTTAGGTTAGGTTAGGTTAGGTCAGGTTAGGTAGGTTAGGTTAGGTTAGGTTAGGTCCAGGTTAGGTTAGTTGGTTAGGTTAGGTTAGGTTAAGGTCAGTTAGGTTAGGTCAGGTTTAGGTTTAGGTTAGGTTAGGTTAAAGGGTAGGTCAGTTAGGTTAAGGTTAGGTTAGGTTATGGTTGTTAGGTTAGGTTGGGCTGGTTTCGTTAATGTTTATGTTGGCCCTATTATTTCTGTTATAAATATTCGACAATAAGGAAATTACGTCTAGCAGAGCGGTGCTTTCATCCCCCACCCCCGCAACGTTTGATGCATGCACTTTCACAGCAAAGTAAAACATGTGAAGCACGGGTTACGTATTCGTACGTGTTTTTTTTTTTTTTTTTTTTTTTTTTTTTTTTTTTTTTTTTTTTTTTTTTTTTTTTGCATTTCTTGTTTCGTGCATTTTTTCCTACCTACTTATACATTACGTCGTCTTTGCTAGCTTGACCACACATCCATTTCCCCTTCTTCAGGAGAGCTACACCTCGGTCTTCTCTCGCTTTGCCCAGAAAATTCTCTCTCTTTACCATCATGCAACTGGGACTTCAACACTCAAGGAATTCTCGTCTCTCGGTATTCCAGGCCATATCTACTTTCCTCTTCCACGTTCATTCAGAAATCAAAAGCATCTTGTACTGATTTCAAGTTCTATTTCCCCAACTATTCTCTACCGCTTGCAGTGCTGAATGATGTAAATGGGCTTAGCAAACCGAGGATCGAACCGGCGCTACTACCGTTAAATGATCTTCACGAGTTGAGCAGATGGATGATCGAACGTACACCACACCGACCGCCTTTATTGTTGCATGATCAGCATGGGTTTAGAGGATGATGGGCCCATTCTTTGCAACGACTGAAGCACACAGACCTGTTGCAAGGAGGATCGAGCCTTCACCACTCCTTACATTGCATGAATCACACGATATGAGATTTTAAACTCCACTACCCCAAGCCCGCCCAACCTTACTAATCAAGCAAAGTAGTCTGGTTTCATTCCACTTGGTACTACCTGCTGTCTAACGATGGCCGAATATTAGAGAAGGTTGGTGGTTAGTGAATAGGACAGATAATGCCAGAACCACTCCACTCAGAGAGAACCTCGCAAATTTAATTGGAAACCTCCTGGAAGGCTTCAATAAAGAGGGGAAGGACTTAAGAAAAAAAAAGGGCGAGAATAATTGAGGGATTGATGCAAACAGAGTTGAAAAAGTGATTAAGTGAATTGGGAAAGGAAAGAGAAGGAAATATAGTTGGATAAGATAGAAGGGGAGAGGGAGAAGATGAGGAGAGAGGGAGAGAGAGAGGAGGAGAGAGAGTGCCGATGAGAGAGAGGGAGGAGACGAGTGAGAAGGAGAGAGATGAGAGATGAGCGAAGTGAGAGAGGAGAGAGAGTGGAGAGAGAGAGAGAGAGAGACAGAGCCAGGAAGGACAGAGACAGACAGGAGACAGACAGAGAGAGAGAGAGAGAGAGAGAGAGAGAGAGAGAGACAGACAGGACAGACAGAAGACAGACAGAGGGACAGAGACAGAGACAGAGGACAGAGACAGAGACAGAGACAGAGACAGACAGAGACAGATCTTATTCCTGGAGTAACAAAGCAAGACGTAATATGATCACCAAATATACTCTATTCCTGGACATAGCTAAGGCAGGCAATGAAGGACTTTAGACTATAAGAGGATCCACAACGAGAGGATACGAATGGTCTGGAGTTTTACGACTTAGCGGGTTGAATCCCCTCCCATACCTTGCTTTGTTTGCAATCGTTTTTCTCCTTTTTTTTTTATTTTTCTTTTTTCATGTGTCATTACGATTTCTTGAGCCATTATATACCCAACCCAGCCACACAC